GAATTACAGGCGCGCGCTACCACGCCCAGCTAATTTTTTATTTATTGTAGAGATGAGGTCCCGTCAAGTTGCCCAGACGGGTCATGAACCATTTCTAATATTTCAAAAACCCTAAAAAATAATCATATAATTATCTTCAATAAAGTTGTACAAGCTAATGCAAATAACAAGTTTCATTACTTTGACAAGAATCTTATCACAATGAGAACATCTCTAGTATACTTGTTCTTATCAGGAACTCTCACTGTTCATTTATAAAGGTTAATTTGTCTTAATTTAAAATATCCATTGTTATTTAATAGAAGATTAAAGTGACAAAATATTTCAAATACAGGATCTAAATGACAGAGGAAAAATAAGATGGGTCCTTGGTGGTAAAAAGAGGAGAAACCACTGTCTCCTCATCAATAATCACAAGGTCCCGTCTACAAGCTCCTAAAATTCTACAAAGCTTTCACGATAATCCACTGAAAAAATTTGCAGCAACCTCACCAATTTCCAATGCAAGTGTTAGAAAATATACATCCTCTTTATTAAGTTTATCACCTAGTTGTTTCCCATTAGGATAAGAGTTTAAAGTGGCACATATATCCATTTAACTGGGTTCTCTCAGACTATAGAATTAACAAATGATTTTGAATAAATCTGGTGATGCAATGCAGATCTTACACCTCAACATAACTTGACCTCACAGCCATCATGGCTGGAAGAAGCACCATTGTACGGCATAAGAACACATACACGGCCGGGCTTGGTGGTTCAGTTTATAATCCCAGCACTTCGGGAGGCTGAGGTGAGTGGGTTGCCTGAGTTCCCAGGTTTGAGACCAGCCCGGGCAACTTGGCGAAACTTCATCGCTACAATAAAATAAAAAATTGGCCGATTGCAGTAGCGCACGCCTATAGTTCAGTTACTCAGAAGGCTGAGGCAGAAGGATCACCGGAGCCTAGCAAGTCAACACTGGGGTGGCCATGAGCATGCCACTGCACCCCAGCCCAGGCGATGGAGTGAGAATCCAACACACACACACACACACAAAAGGAACACATATAAAAATGTGAAACAAACGACACACAAAGTGTGTCTAATCTAAACTGGAGCCCTGATTTACTCTTCACTTTAAGACATCATGTATGGTGTTAAATAACCACCTCAATAGTCAGGCAAAGTGGCTCATGCCTGTAATCCCAGCACTTTGGGAGGCAGAGACAAGAGGACTAACTGAGCCCATAGGTTCAAGACCAGCCTGGACAACTTGGCAAGACCGCATCTCTATAATAAATCAAACAAAAATTAGCTGGGCATGGTGGCGTGTGCCTATAGTTCCAACTACCTGGAAAGCTGAGGCGGAAAGATCTCCTGAGCCCAGAAGGTAGAGGCTGCGGTGCCCAGGAGTGAGCCACTGCACTCCAGCCTGGGCAACAGAGTGAGACATCGACTCAAAAAAAAAAAAATCTTACCTCAAAAAGAAAAGAAAAGAAAAAAAAAAAAACCTAAGCAAAAGCTAAGGGTCATAAGGAAACTTTTGGAGGTGATAAGTATATTTATTACCCGGATTGTGGTAACAGTAGCATGAGTATATACATTCCAAACTCCCAAATTGTATAAAGTAGTTATATGCAGTTTTTAGAATACTAATTATACCTCAGTAAAGTTGGAGGAAAAATAAAATAAGTATACTAACCCAGCTTGTAAGCATTCTCCAGTATGAGGACAGGACAGCTAGCTTCTGCTGTGGTCTATATATTATGGCAATCTCATTAAATAAAAAAGGACTTTTATAGAAGAATGTGATTTAATAATCAAAACATTCAAAGGTGGCAGGGCAAATTTAAATAAAGTTTTGATCCACCTTTCCACAAATCTTTGAATTAAACAGTGCATTTCATCATGGACAATGCATGAAAGGAAGTAGGAGTCATTGCAAAACGTAATGTCCATAAACCCTGCTTTATAGCTCCACATTCAGAGAATAAATGTGACCCTATGAAGATTGTTCTCTCAAGAAATAATTGGGTAATCACTTAATGAATACTGTTTAATAAAAATAGTAATAAAGGCAACCCTGTTGAGACCCTTCCTGTTGCCAGGAGCTTTTCTATCCTCTAATAAATTCCTACTTACTCACACACACAAAAATAATAAAAAGCAAACCTCTTTAAGTGTATATTCCCTCTAAAAGCCAACGTTTTCCTTCCTTGAGGGTTGTAAACATGTTCACTGAAATGCCTGTTAAGTATATAAGCCAAACTTAGGACCCATATCTTGCTAAGGTTTAAGAATGAGAAGCAGTTGGGATATCGGAGTGAACTGGACTTTTCCTTTCTGTACAGCATAAAGGAACTTAAATTACTTGTGGTCGTTTTAAAATTAACTTGAAAAAGAGCTGAGCGCAGTGTCTCACGCCTGTAATCCCAGCACTTTGGGAGGCGGAGGAGAAAGGATTGCCCGAGTCCTCGGGTTGGAGACCAGCCGGGGCAGCATGGCGAGACCTCGTCTCTACAACAAATTTAAAAAATATATTAGCCGGGCGTGGTGGCGAGCGCCTGTAGAAGGCTTAGGCGGAAGGATGGCCTGAACCCAGCAGGTCGACGCTGGGTGGCCGTGAGCGTGCCACTGCACTCCAGCCTAGGCGACAGCGAGACTCCAACTCAAACAAAAGAAAGAAAAGAAACAGTTCACCATTAGCAACCTCAAGCAAGTTGCAATAGCAGGGGCTTCAAGTCATTACACACTCGAATACCCGAAACCTGTTACACTTCTGATTGTTCTGGATCATGTCCACGAAGAGGGACCTGCAACGAACGGGCCAGACACTGAATTCCGGGAACGGAAGTCACTTTCATTCACGCTATTTGTCCTTCACTTGGGCACCCCCGTCAAGTCGAGAGAAATGAAGTTCGGCGCCCGCTGGCACCTGGCTCAGGCGACCACCACCCCCGCGTCACGGACAGAACTGAGTTTGCTGCGCCGGAGGTCGCCAGAGCGGGGCCAGGAGAGTGGTCTAGGCCGGGGACGAGATCCGAGGAGCGGCCCACGTGAGCAGCAGCCCGCGCCGAGGAGGCTAGTGCTGACGTGTCCGAG